TAGGAACCTTAATGGTCTGAAGCAATTTTAAATATTGAACCAAGGTAAGCAAGAAAACCTGAATGACACAGAAAATATTTTTTCTATTATTCCTGGGTTGATACCATCAATCAGTTGCAACAAAATTTACATATGGATGCAGAGAGACAGGTGAGTGGTGTCTCAGCTGGAGGTCTCCTTTTCTTTGTTTAAATTTGCTTAACTCATTGTACCAGCTAGCATAAATAAAGAGGCCTTATGCCACTAGGAAAACATATTGTGATAAAGATTGATTTCATATGTGCCATTTATTCCTTGCAAATAAATAAATAAATAGGATGCTTAATTGATGCTTCATTTTGGCTCAGCTGAGAGCCCTGGGAGAAGCTCAGAACAGTTAGTATGTGAAGATTCCTTAGTAAGGATCTGTAGAAATAAATGTTAGCATGTAGTTTCCACAAAAATAGATTTCACAAGTAATTCTGCACATTACACAAGTTCCATGAGAGAAAAACGTCTTTTTCAGCCAGGTATATGTCGTAGTTCTAGAATCATAGAATGGTTTGGGTTGGAAGGGACCTTTAAAGGTCATCTAGTCCAACCCTTCTGCAGTGAGCATGGACAACTTTAGACCAGGTTGCTCAGAGCCCTCTTCCAACTTGACCTAGAATGTTTCTGGGGATCTTCCACAGGTACTGGTAATCTGTGTAGGAAAAGCAGCTTCAGTAGTCTTGTCTCCCAGGATTATAGTGGTGAGGTTAAGTGAAGATCAGTGGTACATGAAACTGATTTAACTGTACACCTAGTAGCTTAAAATCTGAGGAACTGAGTTTGCAACAATCTTTGGCAGGTTTGTTACTCATCTTCCTGTGGAAGCTTCAAATGTTTTCCTCAACAATGGCATTCACACCTGTTCTAAAAAGCACTAGTCACTTGCCTCAGCAATTAGTGCTAAGAAAAAGGCTTTTTTTTTCCCCAAGGAAACAGATCTTTGTGTAACCAACTACCAAATGACAAATTATTTGCTCAATAATGAAATACAATTTTAAAGCATTTGTACTCAAATCGTCATCAAAATAAAGCTACTGTGGTGATGTGAAAATTAGGATTTAAGACCTCTTAGTGAAAGGACTGCATTTATTTGATGCTTGAATTGCTTTAAGTGAGGCTTTAATAAAATCTCTTGTGATTGCTCCAAATAAAGTACAGGAGGGTAGTACCAGCTTTGACATTTCCTGTCTCTGGATCTGAATACTTTGAGGGTGGCCGGATTGCTGTTGTGGGACACAGGCAGAAGTAATAGTTGAAAAATAATTAAATGTGACAAAGTAGATGTTTACATTTGAAGAAGACACATTTTTGTCACATTAAGGCATTTCTCAATGAGTTTTTTATCAAAACTTGTTTATCTTTGTTTTCTGGGTGATTAATTCAGTAGCACTAGCATAATTTATTGCATACTTTCACCTACTACAGATGAAGACAAGGAAATTCTAGATGTTCAATGAAGCCTAATTGTAAAACATTTTCTACATTCTGAAAAGTAAATTTTTAGTTGGGGCCAAGATTTGTGCTCATATTTTTAAGTGACGTACCTTTCACATTCTTAGAGTCTTGGTAAGATATTTCTGTTTTAAAACTGAAAACATTCATTTAAGTTGCGTTTCATTTAAACACAAAAGGAGAAGCAGACTTTTCAAAATGTATAAAGTTTATTCAAGAACTGAGTTTTCAGTTGAATCTTGCAATTGCCTTTTTGCATAAAGCTATAGAAAGATACACAAGTTTCAATACTGAAGGATTGTGAAACGGAAACAAAAAGGGTTGTGTTTGGGCAATCACCTGTAAAGTTTTAGTAACATTTTGATATTTACTTTTCCACTATATAACAATCCCAACCATTTCCAAGAACTTCTGTAAATAATTCTTTCTGAGGGAAAAAAATATGCAAACATTACAGTTCACTGTGCTGGGTAATATTTTTTTTTCCTTCTTCATTTGGACAGCATTTTTGAAAATAAACTAGCGAAGTGCATACTCTCCTGTGCCATAATTTTCTGTTCATCTGTAAATATTTACTGCAGTTTGATTCAAGTAGACAAAATAATTTTGAAGTATTAAAGAGAGATGGAAAGACATTCAGATGGAGATATCAGAAAAGATTGAGATTAACAACAATGCAGATTATAGCATCACCTGATTATGCTCTGGTAATTTTATTATAAACTTTGTTTCTCTGCTAACCACACCTAAAAGAAAAAAATCCAAAAATGTTCTTCAGTGGCCATCCATACTTTAAAAAGCTACAATAGTTACCGCAACTTCTTAATTGAGGTGTCATAATGCTTAGTAGTTTTACTAGCCAGGGAACTGTACTCTGATTTTCCTAGCTATATAAGTAAAAATGTTAATTAAAACAGAGAAACTGCAATGTAAGAAGTTGTAATGGAAGTGATTTCCAAATTTAGGCATTAGGTTACTTTTATGATACATGGAAAGCCTAGATTCAATTCCTTGCCCTGTATTAACTGGAAAATCACATTTGAAAATGTACATCCAAAACAAAAGTTTAAAATGGATAACTTTCAAATACGCTGTTTCCATTGCCAGCAGAATAGGCAGTTGTAACCAATATACTTATTTACAGTGTCTGGCTAACATTCAGGGATTAGATTAGGTAAATAAGTAGCTGGGTACCACATGGCCATATGTTCCTTGATGTCAGAAACATGAGTAGGATGACAATGCAAAATGCCTTTGAAACTAGGTAGTGACTGAATTCTCCAAGGACTGAAGTCCCTTTTTTGCTGTTATACAACATCTATAAGAGACTGTAGACATTACAGCCCTCTAGGTTACTTGTAGCAACGGTTTTTAGGTATCTGGCACCTGCCTTGGAATTTGCTATCCTTTATTTTAATACTCATACCTTATATCCAATGAATAAGCTACACCTGCTCATAATTCGTTTTGTAAAAGCTTGCACATGGAGCTGGAACCACCTAAACTGACTAAAGGAATGCTGAAGACAGGCTTCTGTTAAAGTCTGACTCAGCTGAGGGCTTAGATTTAGAGAGAGATAACTGCGAGATAGCGTAGAGATACCTCTTCTCTTCAGGGCCAACTACCCTGGACTCACTCCTGTAGGTAGATGTCTACGCCCAGGAAAAGAGAATTTCAGAAATGGAAGATGTGTGGCTTCCTTCTGCTTTAAGAAGTATGTTAGCAACGAGAATACTCTCTAAATAACACGGGAGACTGTGATTCACTCACCTCTTTTGCCTGATGGGACCCAAAAGCTCACCTTAAGCAAGTCTCCTACTTTTCCTATCAACGTCTTTCTGGTCTGTATTAATTGCTGAGGGCTCCACCCTGCTAAAGAAGGGCAATTTCAGTATTGTACATTAGACTTCTGGATAAATTACGAAGGCAGCCCTTGAGGCAGGGACTACCCAGGGCTTTTCCACAACAACAACAGATACTCTTAACTGGAGGCTCTTTCTCTACTCAATCTTTTGTGGGTATCTGGGATCATAACTGAGTGTTGGATTTCTTTGCTTGACCACCAGAGCTGAAGTACCAAGTTTAAAAAATGGCATAGTCTGAACAATTCCTCTGTTCTGATTCTCCTGCTTTAAGGATGACCATTCTTTTCACTAGAAGATGGGTGTTCTATGGTTCAATAACAATAACGGATTAAAATCTTTCTGTAAGTAGACACCAAGGCACTATGTGATAGCATATACTCCTACCTGGGTAATAATATAATCAAGTATATACAAAACAGCATCAAAGGAATTAAAAACCCATGAGGTTTAAACATCAGACTATTAAACACAAATCCTGCTACCCAGAGGTGCGCAAACAATTTATTTGTGTTCAGTGCACCACTGTACAAGGGAATGGGTCTGCAGCTGTGTTTCTCAACAAGGTTAATAAATGGTTTGTCAGCTCTGGTGAACATTTATTTTGTATCCAAAGTCCAAATGTAAAAAAATAATAAAGAGTAGTTTTACTCTCTCCGTTTGTGATGGAGTCCCACTCTGACAAGATCAGAAATATCAGTCAACAGCTGCAGATGGAAATGAAATACTCATCTTATTTGAATCCTGTGGGCTGCAAAAAAGGATTTTTTTCCCCATTGCCCAAATAGTTCCTTGTGTCAGACAATCTGGAGCCACATATTTTTTTTTCTTTTTACTAGTCCAGCTGGCAGAGTAAATTGCCTTGTTGAATTAGCATGTCTTGAATATATAAAAGGGTTTAAATGAGTACAATGGTACAGGCAGTACAACAAACTATTGCTATTATAAAATATACTAACATATTTCTCTGTTGTATAGGGAGCAGATTTGTGACATAGGGAGGTGTAAATGACTCCTGGAGCTTTTTGTATTAGTTATTTTTATATGAATCTCAGTAATAAGCAAATCAGCATATATGTTGCCAAATTAAAACGGAAAGCTATTAGCAAATTAACACCTTTTACACAGAACTTATACAAATACCACATTTTTCATATCTTGTGTTATTGCAAGAACAAAATTGCATAGACCATTTGCTGGCACTTTCTGAATTCCGTAAGTAATGCTTTGTCTTACCAAATAGTTCAAGTAGTTCCCTCAATTTGATTTCACCCACTACTGCAGTGTTTACATGTAGTGAGAGGAAAAAAACCACGAAGCTCCAAAATATCAACAATGACATAATTATCTGACTGAATAATAGTTCAGCAAAGAAACACATTCCTTTTTTTTTTTTTTTAATGCTCTCTGTAAGGCTGTTTTCAAAGTGTTACTAACAGAACATATAATTTGATTGAAGCAATTCTTCTGAAGTTGAAATGTCATTTGTGCTCTTCTTCCCCATTCACCCTGTAGTCCAGAACTGTAGATACAGATTTGTTTTCTAAACTGAAGTACTGTGTTTTTAAAATTATGAAAATTCTGCTTTTGGTAATGGTCTTTAGCAATAATATAAAACTCAGACTGGCAAGGGGATGCGTGGCCTTTTCTGGTGCCTCACTGGCAGACCCGGCTGTACTCTTGGCAAGTGGAGCCCACACCGGCCACGGACAAGTAGAGCTTTCCATCCGGACACACGCAGATCTCGTAGAGCCCGTGAGAAATATGGGATCCACCCCTTGTACCCTCAGGTAATTTGGGCAGTCTCACAGTTTCAGCATCAAGCAAAAGCTGCACAGGATAAAGCAGGAGAAATGGGCTCATTAGAGAAAAGAATGCAATAGCTTGCCATAAAACAACCTGACTTTGTCTCAGCAGTGGTTTAAGAACAGCCTTCTACGCAGACTTGTTATATTCAAGCCTGTTCTGAGACCCAGGCTCTTCTAGGCCTAGGTTCTAGGATAAGCTGGTGCTCATCCCCTTCCTTAACAGAGACCTCGTAAAGTTCAACAAGGCCACATACAAAGCATGGATACAGGCTGGGCAATGAGTGGTTTGAGAGCAGCCCTGTGAAGAAGTACTTGGGGGTACTGGTGGATGAAAAACTGAATATGAGCAGGAAATGTGTGCTTGCAGCCCAGGAAGCCAGTTGCACCCTGGGCTCCATCAAGAGAAGCGTGACCAGCAGGCTGAGGGAAGCGATTCTGTCCCTCTACTCTGGTCTCATGAGACCCTGCCTGCAGTATTCCAGCTCTGGAGCCCCCCAGCATAAAAAAAGACATGGACCTGCTTGAGCTGGTCCATGATGAGGGCCATGAAGATGATCAGGGGGCTGGAGCACCTCCTTGTGAGGACAGGCTGAGAGAGTTGGGGTTGTTCAGCCTGGAGAACAGAAGGCTCTGAGGAGACCTTATAGCAGCTTTCCAGTATTTAGAAGGGGCCTACAGGAAAGATGGGGAGGGACTCTTTATCCAGGAGTGTAGTGACAGGATGAAGGATAATGGTTTTAAACTGGCAGAGAACAGATTTAGATGAGATGTAATTCTTTGCTGTGAGGGTGGTAAGACACTAGAACAGGTTGCCCAGAGGTGTGGGTGCCTCCTCCCTGCAAGTATTTGAGGCCAGGTTTGGATGGGGCTTTGAGCAACCTGATCTAGTGGAAGGTGACCTTTCCCTCAGCAGTTGGGTTGGAACTAGATGATCTTTAAGGTCCCTCTCAACCTAAACCACTTTTTAATTCTGTGATTTATGATAAGAGGTGGGGGCCCCGGCTATACAATGGATAGCAGGGCACGGGTGCTGCTGCTGCCATGGGACCCAGGTCTGCCCCGGCCTGAGAGCTGACGCCTCGCGGCCATGCCAGCTGGTTATGGGTGGACACACAGGTTAGTCTGGAGTGCCTTTGTGGAAGAACTGGCACTGTACAGCCTTGCACAGGGGATAAACAGGCTGCTGCATGTCCTGTGCTGCTGCTGCTGGGACAGCTCTTAATGTCTGCAGAGCTTCACTCCTTAATTTAACAACTCTGTGGCTATCTACCTCTGGGCCAAGGTCCCTGCTGGGATGCCAGGTTATCACTGTGCTAGTGGGGAGCTGAGCACTATCAGAGTTTTATTAGAAAACATTTCTCTAAGTTAATACATTATGTCAATTGGTAGCATTATTTAATCTCACCTATAAATAAAAAATCTTATTGTTGACACCACTGAATTTAACATCCTGTCTCCCAAAATCTGAGGAATTAAATTAACAAAACTTGAAAAAAAGCCTTGAAGTTACATAAAGACAGCAAGATTAACCATAGTTATGGTAACTGAAGTGCTTGTACTCACCACACCATCACTGCTGTGTAGTTTGATATCCATCTGGGAAAGAGCTTCAATATTCCCAGCTTGTGCTTTGATATTAATTCCTCGTGGTGCATCCATGCTCAAAGATCGAGTCGGTGATTCCAACCTGAAAGCAGGAGCAGGAAATCTGACAGTGGCACATTCTCATATGTTCCTTATTTTTGAAAAATAAGTAAGCTTTGAACAAGAACTTGAAGGATGTCCCCTGAAGTCATGTAATAGCTGCAGTTTCTTTTTTCTTCAGGCAGGCTTGAAAAAGGAGGTAAATGTTTAAAAACACCAAAGTATCCCAAATGAAAAATATAGATAAATTCATAATACAAATGCAAGGTATTATTTCAGAGACTACTTCAGATTATTTCAGTATAATGGTTGTTAATGCTTTAAAACTGAAACCTATTTTTACATTCTTTGGTTTTAATGTATTTCATTTTTTGACATCATAAAATATTGAAATTCAAACAATTTAGTGCAGTCTGGAAGTTTTTTAAACAAGAGTTTTGACACGACTATCCATTGGAGCAAGATTTCACTCAGAGTGTGTGTGTGTTGCTTAACTGGATAGCATCTGAAACTTAAAATCCAACAGCTTTGTTAGAAATAAAAATTGTACAACAGAAGGGTGCAAACCCCAAGATGCCACAAGATGGCAGGAATGTACTGTATTAGCTGAGGAATCACCTTGGCGGGCCAGCTGTCCAGGATTAATGATCTTTATTTTCCAAAGAGACAGGTCTTGTTTTTATGCAAAGTTCTGGTATCATTTCCATGATAAGTAGCAAGAACAGAAGTACTAATTAAAAATCATGAGAAGACTACCAACTACATGCTAAAGGAATGAAACCATCTTACACGCAATGCTAATGTAATTGTCTGATGGGTTTCAGTTTCTCAGACTGCTTCAGTGCTTCCTCTTCTTGCAGTTACTGCATTAAAACTAGAATTCAAAAGAAGCCAGTTTGTGCTTGTGAAAAACTTCAGTTCTATCTCAGAATTCTGAGGAAAATAATTCCAGCTGATATTTTAAAACCTAAACCCATGATTGAGCATAGTTAAGCACAGTCACTGAAACTTCATTTTTCATCCCCAAATCTGAAAATATCTCAGGCAATATTTGCTTATCACTGCTGGCCAGGGGTAGCAGAAGATTTGAACTTTGATCTTCAAAGGTTCCTTCCAACTCAAACTGTTCTATGACTCTGTGTTTCTATGATCTGCCTCTTCCCATCATCTCCTGGATTAGTCACCTTCAATTAATTTAAATTCTGGATTAATAATTTAAATTCCTAACAATGAGTAACTGCATCATGGTTCCATATTTGGACTATACGAATAAAATAGTTTGATTCCCTATCCCATGACTGTGAGTTGGCACAAACTTCTGTCACAATCATGCTGAGTACAAGGGCATATGCGTGTGTTCTGTATCAGACATCTAATGCAGTATTAGGAAGTTTTATTAAGCAGAGTTTGTGATTTAAAAACATTCCCCTTACTTTTTGCTTTAGATCCTTAGATTTACACTTTGATGAAACAGGATATCAATTTTTCGCTGAGTGATTTACACAGGAGGTCTATTTCATGGGAATATTTTTTATGCACATTTATATGGGCTATATAATGAAAAATTAATTGAAGTTTGTACTTTCAGTATTTAAAAATGAATATATTTTCATAAGTTAGTGTCAAGGTAGTTGAATATAACTGTTGTGATAGTGTGTTTTAACAAAAAACAATAAACATTTAAATAGCTTATTTTTTTTGTAAACTATTTCACCTACATAATTATTGTATACATAGGCAAAAATATTATTTTTAAGCTCTACTGAATATTACAAAAAATTAATGGGACGGAGTTTTGAAGAGCATATTAGACCTGGAGTTTGAAAAGCAATCAAGCACTGGAGAAATATTTCTTACTTTCTTCTAAAATTAATGTTGGCAAGAAGCCTACAGACTTCAGAAGCATTTACAGATTTATGATATGACTTACATAGAATTTAAATTACATGGCAGAATTACATTTGATATATTAATCACAACCCTAAATTTCTGCTGTTCATACATGTCCTATTTCTAGATTAATTAATTAAGTAATTAATTAATGGCAGTGGGAACTACCATGAAGCTTGAGCAGTGATTTTAAAGCCTTCTGGAACTATTATGCATGAGATTTTAGCAAATACAACTTCATACACCATTCAAAGGTTCAGGGTCTAAACCCCAGGTGTACTAAATAAGAAAAAGGCACCTAGAATAGAAATGACCTGAGCTGGATCTTGACTTTGTCCCTTCTCAGTCCCAACATGATCCCGAAGAAACATGACTTCCTCAGCCCCTTAGACACTGACCTCATAGTCACCCAAAATTCTCCAGTGGTCTCAGCTCTGAAGCACTTCCAATTTGTCATTGGTGGGCAGGTTTGGACTTCTCGTGTATGCTTAGGAGTCTGGGGACCACAGAACTGTCCTAGTAGAGGAGCTGAATGACAGAGATACTTGTATGGACTCAAGGTGTCTCAGAAAGATATGAATAGAGCACTGCAATTATCAGCATTACTGGTGTTTTAAATAGACAGTTATAAAGCAAAATGGAGTTTATTTTTTTTATCAGTGGATCTACTTAAAATGGCTGATGGGAGGATGCTGTTCTGCACTGCAAATGGTTTGGCTTAGTCAGAAGACACATGACTGCGCAGATAATGGCTGATAAGAAAGTTTCAAGTTCTGTTCCCTCGGCAATAAAGGAAGAAGAGAGTAGGCTGGGCTAAACAAACCAGTGATGTGCATCCCTCCAACGTCTTGGCAAAACAAGAATTTGGTTTGCTTGCAAATGCTGGAGGGTGTTTGGAGACTGAGAGGACAGAAATTTATTGTCATAGACTTATTGGTCATTTTATAGTGTTTGTTTGAATTCAGGCAGTAGAATGATGATGGAATATATTGTTACCAGTCACTTTATCTTTTTAAAAAATTACAGGCATATAAATTACATTTAACAGAATGGAGTGAGGATCTTTATCATGTAGAGGAATTAATCTATGTAATGTGCTGTTCTAAATGAGACATCTGTCACAGCTTCTATCTCATTTGGGAAGATGGATTCTGTACTTATAAGTAGCTTCTACATAATGTGGTAGCTGCCAGGGGACTATAAGCAAGCAGTGTGGTGCAAGAGGAATTCATCAGGATGGCCCAACATTTGATGCTGAGGACCTGACACCCCTTATTACACATACCCTCAGAAATACTCTGGACTAGCTGTTGCCTGACCTTGAAAAGTGGATGCCTGGAAAATCTGGAGTACATTATGGATTCTCCAAGAAAGTATAGATTTCAAGTTAAGTTCATCCAAAAGTCATCCTGTTCATGTACCACAAACAGTTCCATAATGAGAACCAAGATGTGGAGAGCTCAAGCAGTAGGGAGGTATCATCCAAAAGCATGTTCCTAATTTGAGTTAAGGCACTTATGTAGACACATCCACAGAACATAAGCAATGGAAACCACACCTAGGCCCACTCGCAGAGTAGGTGTTTTGCCTTGCTCTCCTCCACCCTGATCCCTGCAGCTACCTGGAGGTTTGTTGGCAAAGTACAGGGAAACTGCAAACTGTCAGCTAATGAAAGTCAGGGAAGGGTTGGGGGAGTAGGTGGTCCCTGCTAGTATTTCATAGCTCTGTCATCTGCTGGACATTGGTCCTCCAGTAATCCACTGCTACTAAAACTACCGATTACAAGGAAGACATTATTTTTATTGCTGTGTTCTTACTTGTTGGTAAGATAGTTCCAGAAGTCGAGTATACTGTCTTGGCTGCTTGCCACAGAAAACTGGTGTTGAGGTGTGCAGAATAATTCATGAAGAACTGTGTGAAAGTGTTCTGAGGGAACCTGGACAGCATTCAGGCTCTGGATCTGCAACCATCCCAGCAATGTAAAGGCTCCGAGATTTCCACCTTTCCCTATGAGCATGGTGCTAACTCACTGAGATACCGGGTCACCAGAAACTGCTCAGTGTAGGGAGGATGTGAGGTGAGTGACAGCCTGCTACCATTGTGATAACGAAGCAACTGATACTGCCTGTGCATGCTGCAGAAATATCGATCTCTTCTTTCATCCTGTTCTGGCAGGAGACAGGAGGGTACTTTGCTGATCTTTTAAATGCCACAGTGCATTAGAAAGTTGGTTTTAGTACTTCAGAAAGAGTACCACAGTCTTCTGGAGCACATTTCCTACTGCAGGATGAGGTTGCTTGACTCTTAGAGCAGGACAGAGGAACCAGCTTGCTTTTGTGACTTTGGGGAATTGTTTATTCTTTCTTTCTGGCCACTTTTTGTCCTTTCCATCTCATGAGTCAGCATCTCTCCTGAAGTCAGTGGGGACAGAATTCTTCAGTGTGATTTCAGATAGAAGTTCCCCACATGTATTCATTCTTCCCAGCACCTGTCTGAGGAAGACTATGGTTACTGTAAGTGGACTGGACAGGTAGAACTGCCTCTAAAATTGTGGTGCACCCAAGAAATGGTGTGCCCATAAACACTGCTAGCCCCCTTTTTTTCCCCTTGATTTTTAGTTAAAATAGCTTGCTCAATTTTACCATACAGAGAAGACTTTATGAAATATAAACCTGGCACTACAGTGTGGTAAACTTCTTAGCAGTGTGCAGTGTATTAAGTATTTGACTTAAATATGTTCTTGTATCAGTAGAACAGAAACACCTATGTATTTTAGCCCTGACTCAGCTTTCATTAAAAAAAGGGCCCTTGCACACAGGAGAAAAGAAAATGTCAAATATACTGGACTTGATTTATTTTACTCTGTATCAGGTTATTTCATAGCAGTATGTTAGTTTAGATCATTAACAAGATATTGGTCTTGTGTTCATCCATATGGTGGGGTTATTTTGTGAAGCCCTGTTAAACACTGAAAGAACAGAAGCTGAGTCCAGGCAGAACCTAAATGCTGGCTAGTTCATAAGGCTTTTTCATTAAAAGTTTTTCACAAAGCTTTCTGGTATTGATTTTTGTGAGAGTTCATAAAATATATTTCTACATCACTTCTACTTCTCTAATGTGCTCAGTCTTCCTCCCAGAGTGCTCTGGTATAATTAAAATAAATGGACCCATGAAAAAGAGCCAAATATATAT